TAAAATTCTGTACAAATATGCCATAGCCTTCAATAATAAGGACAATATTTTCAAAATTAGGCCACTGTCAGCATGTGTATAAAATAATGAAAATCATAATGGTAATTAAACCCTATTTACAACTAAATCTAGCATTGCTGGTTTGTTGACCTAATTCTAACCATGCATGTCAGGCATCACCGGTATTTGGCATTGGAGATTCTGTTGAAAAATATATCATTGATGACTGTTTCTCACAATATTCAGTGTTCTATAAGGGGATTATTCAATGACTATTTAAATTTAACTAACCATTAAAATGTATTGTTTTAATATCTTCCTGAAATTTGTACGAAGCATCGAACACGGCACGATTCTCGAGATCCACAATTCATATCAAGATCGTGGCTTATTTTTACAAAGGCAACTTACTGGACTTGTTATGAATATTCAGCAAGGCTATTTTTAAGGGATTATTAAAGTTAAAGGTGCTAATTACTCAGATCATGTGAACTATGTGGCCGATTCTCACTAATGACTGTTAATGTTATTGTAGCCATCAAGCAAGTTGATTGACTTCTTCATCAACTAGAAATAATTAACTCCTTGTAATTTAGCCAATGTGGCCAGTTCATTATTTTATCAATCGATGTATTCAAACATCAACTGACTGAAACCAACAATAATGAGCTGATTAAGATCCCTGATATGGACCACAAACAAAATTACTGGTAAAACCTATTTTTCAACATGGTCATATATCATGTACTAATTGTAAATTACATGACGTGCGTGTAGAATTTACAACTTCCACTTTCAAAAACCTGTCACCATGCTGCTTGTGTAATGTCTTGATCTTTTTTTAAAATATATTACCTGTTAGGAAATCTTATATAAATCTTTCTTAAAAGAGAATAATTTATATCAGTCTTGTGCAATACTTTGATTTATATTGTTAGACTCGGTGGAAGACCGATATGTTCAAAACTTTTTTCTTTAACCAGATTTGAAAACCAGACATCTAGTAAGAAATAAAGGTTCCTGTGCCTTAAGTTTTCTGTTGGTTTGTTGATATTTGACATTTCATAGAAAATTTAATCTAAGAATTGTATTAGAAGATGCAATATTTTGACTCCTGATCAGAAATTTATATGTACAGAACTTCTGATCTGGCAAAGATTTCATGAAATGTTTGCTGTTTGGAAACATTCTCCAAAAACTATTGTATCTTTGGGTTAGGAGGTTTTTTTGGTTCTGAAATACTGAGGAACGTATACAAATTATTGGTAACGTTAAATTATTAGTGGGATTATATTTTAAGTGAAGTGCTGGGAGCCGTTAGGTTTAGTCCTAAACACATATATGCAATAAAAATCTCAGAAACCAAATGAACCTTTGAATGTTTGAAAAAAAAAGCAGGACCCATTGCTTACTAATACAAATCCTAGTCTCCCACTTCTATCTAATGACATGCTAAATCAATGCAATCTGTAAGAATTCTTGTGGGGTTGGGTAGACGAACGGATTAATATGTGCACTGTAGATCATAAGGTCTAGTCATTGAGTGGTTTCGATTCCTTGTAGGTTTTTTCCGGGTTCTCCCGTACTCTCCCACTGCTAAAGACCTGAACATGCGAGCGAATTATTGATATGAAATTGTATCATTTGTTAGTCCTGAAATTTCGAACTCTTCTGCTAATATATTGCAACAAATTTGTATGTACATTATGTAATTGACAAGATCGTACAATAGGACTAATTATGCTTCCTATTATGATACATGATACATACGCATAATTAATGTGGTCTCCCTGAATGACATGTAGTAATGTTGTCTATGATTACAAATCAAAAATATGAGACATCCGAATAATCTGTCCGTAACATGTCATTCTTTGATGCCAATAAATAACTAAGTTCAAAGATAAAATGTGTCTACAGAGATTGAGAGCATTTACATTCATCAATATTTCCAATAATTGGGCAGCCATGTACATATCCAGTGACAGCTGACATAAGTGTTGTCTGGCAGAATTTAAGTAATGCTAAAAAGATACCCTTCCCCCTCTTCCATAAATCTCACTAGTGATACTTTGTTTGTAAATGATTGAGTTTCTTTATATTAACACAAGTTAGTACTATATTTCTTTCCAATTAGGACGTTATCCATAGGTTTTATATGTATGAATTATTCAATCGAATTAATGGTAATCCTAATTGCCCCGACTCCTTTCTCATCTTTTGGTATATGTAACAGTATGTTAAAGATGCATTATGTAAGAGGTAGTAAAGAGTTAAAAAAATTAGGCATTTTGAGGGGGATATTCTAATTTTCCAACAAGATATCATGAATTTCCAGTTATTTAGAGTCATCTTAAATAATAACTCCTAGTAGTCCTAGAATTAGGAATATACTACTAACATATATTATTACGTTCTTTTTAATTTTTCACTTCATCGTCCCATCATCAGGACTACCTTTTGTGTTTTACCATCCAGATTTTGTTGAAATTCTTCTGTTGGTGAAAGAAGGCTGCCATTTTGCTTATTACAGCCTATTGCTAATGGAAAACTGAACAAATTGTCCAGAAAAATAACCATGCTAATATTGCCAGATTATGTGATTATTCATGTATATTGTAACAAGTATTACTATACATTATGTAACATATGATTACTTGTAAGGCTTGTACATCGTGATTTTCGCAAAATTAATTTTCAAGTTATATGGCCTCTAACTTGATTGTTGATAAAGACACATTACATACTTGTCCTCACTCGTTGGTTTCTATTGATTTTGAGAGTTTTCAGAAAACTAATTCCAGAGTTATTACCCAAGTCTGATATGACTGTTGATAAACATACATTACTGTATGACGTACAAATTATGTACTGATCTAAAAAAAAGTTCATTTCTTCAATTTTTTTAAATTGCTCGCAATAGTTGATATTGGCGTAAAGAGGGTTCGTATAAATTTGTCGATTTGAGAAAATACTTCCAAAGTTACATGTACATGTATGGCCCCTGAGTCTTGGTTCTTCATAGCTGCAATAGTTGTAGCCGTGATAATTCTTATTCATGGCTATAATTGATACACTATTCCAGGCTTTGAGCAATTAAAATTAGGTTCCATTGCAAAATATTTAACAAATCATCACAGTTTGCATGGAAGTAAGTAATTATGTTACAAATAGTGAAGAGTGGAACACTGAAATCTTAATCTTAACTTACCAAACAGTTTTTCTGTATTTTCGAGTGACATAAAATCACATGATTCATGTTTCGGCGGCCATTTTAAAATGAACAGAAATTTCGCGTAGCAGTTGGGTTTAATCAAATCATATAATTAGGCAGTATGGTTTCACCTTTATCTCAATGGGAATTGGTTTATTACATGTTAAGCTATGTACAGTACAGTTCGGGGTCAGTTTAATTGGAAATTAAGGGACTACAAATCTTGCTCAAAGGAAGACCTTAGGATGGACCACTATAGTGGCTAGAACAAGACGGAAGACATCAGTTGTGGAACCATTTCTAGGTTCTTCAATCCATTTTGAAACGAAGCGTCAGACTCAGTCGTTAGAATTAGGAAATTCAGTCAATTATCTCTGATTCCCTTTAATATAACCAGACTTCAACTAAAACAGTTTTTCATAAGTTAAGTTTTGTATAATATTTTCTTCTGAATAGGCAAATATTTTTGATTACCACAAAAACTAATACAAACAAACAAAAAACATTTACACTGACTCAATATTTTCCATATTTAATTTATATGTGGACTGTCTTCACATTTTTTTTCTGGTGCTTGTGCATTCAGAACTAAGTACAGTCTTTGTAAAAATACAAAACTGATCCCTTATTTTCATCCATTGACTGGAGGCCAATCTAAATTCAAACATGTCATTCTTATATGATTATGTCATTTATGGACGCTCTCGCTCCAGGTTATTTAATGCCTCAATTAGCCAAAGGCCATTAGTCATTTTCTTTATATTTAACTTTTAACAGAGGTAATTGTTGAATTGTTTGTTGGATATTAATGTAGACGATTAAAACATATCTGGGTTAGATGCTATTTTAAACTTGATGTTCATGACAGGTGTTAGTTGGATATTAATGTTTAAACAAAAAACTTCAATTAAATAATGTCAACTTTAGATAACCTAAGTTAAGATTGATTGATTGATTTTTATATGCCAACCTTAAAATGTGATTATGTATTGCCATCGTCCCTGTCCGTCCCATCTTCCACATTTTCTTGTGAACACTCTACAGTTAATTATATAGGGATATTGCTTATCATCCAATTGATTTGCAATATGTGTTGATCATGTTAACAGTTAGTGAAATGGAAAATCGTACCTGATAGGATTTCAACACTTTCCATTGCTCACTTTGTCAAATCTTATTAAACAAGGAATCGTTACTTACTTGTATAGTTATTGCCCTTGCCCTTGCTTGCTTTGTAGAAATCTTGAGAATGCATGAAAGGTAAAATAGATTATCATATCGACTTTAATTAATGACATTATTTGTTAAAATATTTGGTACAAATAATAGTAATAATGTAGGCTTTGTTGCCTGGCAACCTATCTTAGGGGGGAAATGTCTTAAAATACTGTCAGAAACCAGGGAGGGATTCATAATGATTAAGACTAGACTAATCAAGAGACACTGATGGATTCAAAATGATTAAGACTGGAATAACCAGAAAAAGAGACGAATTCAAAATGATTAAGACTAGACTACCTAGGAAACAGATGCATTATGTACATTAATTGATGAGTAAAATAGTTGGAAGTCCTACAGATGAGCAACCAAGAACGTCAGCCTGTAATATTTCCAGTTGTTCTTGCTGATCTTAAATTTGCCTTTTAGATATAGAGAACCCATTTCCCCATTCATATTGATCTGTGCCATCTCTCTTTTTTCATTATATTATATGTACATGTAGCTTCCTGCATTCTTTGATTTAGATGAATGATATTTGATAAAATTGTTATTTTGTATGTTTCAGTTCCCTGAGCATGGTTTATATAATCTGATAGATAAAATATTACTATTCAAACATGATTCAGAAAGTGAAAATGTCTTACAGCTCATTACCGCGGCTACAAGTGTCACTGAAGGATGTCTTATTGATGTCATTCTTTCAGGTGGGTTTATTTTTTTTCATTGAATTTGCATTTTTGTGTGTAATACACTTCCACAAATTATGGAGCGCAAAGGTCTTCTTTTTTATAATGTTACTCGTATTATAAATATATGTAACAGTTTGGTACGAAATATAACTTTGTTAAGGTTGTAGCTCTGACAAAATACAAGAAAAGAAGGAAATATGATTGTATTTATTTGACTTCACTAGATCTAGTCTATATGCTATTGATATCAGGGAGCTGTGGTGGCTCATTGAATCTGTCTCAGGTTCACTTCCAGTGTTGGCCAAGAAAGTTCTTCAGAATTTTCCAATGTGGTTTCCCCATGTCATTTTGCAGGACAGATGACCTGGCAATGACGGTGGCAAATCGTTCATATGGGATAAAAACGAAGGTACCGTGTACACATTGGCTTGCACGTAAAAAAGAAACCTTGACAGCCGGAATTTCTAATAAGAGTAGGGCATAATGCCGCTGTCCAGGCAATATTTCCCACATCGTACATTGTTTGATGTATTTCCATCTTCATTAGCCCACTTGGTGCAAAAACGTAGACCTTTTAACCTTATATCATTTCATTTCTCTTCATATCAGGATTCAAAATTAACACTTTTCTATTAGAGAACAGTCAATTTATGTTGGACGAATGGAACTGTCTTGTTGTCAGCTGGACAGTCTTTTGAGATTGTGACTGACAGATGCTATATAATTATATATGCAGATTTGCCAATTCTCCGAGTTGTCTGTTATTATAATCCACTTCATATCTGTATAATTGTTGAAGATAATAACTGTTTGGTAACCTATGCCACTGTATTCTACTTGACTGTAATCAGAATGTTTGTACGATGGGTAAAAGTTTTCCTGAACTTATATTTTATAAACAGTATGAAAATATGGCCACTACATTAAAGTTTGTGATCGTCATTTGAGTGCTTGTTAATTCTTTTCAGACTAGAATATTGTAAAAGTATAATCTCTAATATGTCCAAAAATGGTTTGCTACTAACAAAGATGTGATGCAGCATTCAGCATCCATTACAGTATAGGCCCACTTGTGATTTGCATTGAAATCATTTGATTGGCCTCTGATTGGTTTCAAGCCGGGAGGTTATCTAGTGATAGACCAGTGAGAATAAAAAGATCAGGGCATAATTTAGAGAACTTTGATGCTGAACAATCAGTTGAAATATTGAAAAACCTGTCTACATCACAAAGTTTCATGGTGTAGCACTATGCACTATGATTAAATACTAAAGAGTGATAAACTTTAATCATATTATTTATAGATCTAGTTAATTGTTACGAATGAATATAAAATCTTGATATTTTTGTATTTTATGTTGAAAATGAAAACCTAGTCTATTTTTATATGCCCACATTTCAGTGTGAGGATGGGTATAATACATGTATGTTTTTACACTGTCCTTCAATCTATCTGTCGGCAATTGACTTTGTGAAAACAAAAAAGGCAACACTTTTGACGGGATTCTTTTGAAATATGGCGTGAATCATTGTGGTCATGAGAGGACAAACCCTATTGATATTCAGCATTCCGCGACTTTTCATACAAGAGTAATGCCCCCTTTTCCGAAAATCTTGTAAACGCAATAGAGCATGCTATAGTTGTGAACAGATTTTTTTCAAGTTTTGTGTGAAGCATTGTGGTCATGAGAGAATGAACCCTATCTACTTTCAGCATGCCACAGCTTTCCGTTCTGGAGTTATCTCCCCTTTGCTGAAAACCTTGTGAACATGATATTCAGCATCCTATTGATTTTCAGTGTTCTTTGATATTTTGTGTCAGATTGTTGAAAACCTTGTTGTGACCACAACAGAGACTACAATTTTTGACAGATTCTTTTCAAATTTGGTGTGAAACATTGTAGCCATTAGAGGACGAACTCTATCAAGATACAGCATTCTGCGACTTTCAGTTGCAGAGTTATCCTCCTTGACTGAATATTAAGGTTGGTCAACATCCAAGTTTTCCTTTTGGATAAGCTGCTGTCAAGACATTACTGCTGTATTTATTTGAAACTGCTAATCAATTTTGGCACAACTGTGAAAAATTAATGACAGCCCTAGGTAAGACTATGGGGAAACATCACAACTCTTACGGTAGGTGTCACAAACAAATGAAAAGGAAATCAAAATATTTCTTTTTAATTGACTTTGCAGTTTTATATTAAAGTTGATGAACAGTGGAGGTATGAAAATCCTGATAACATGATATAATGTACATCACATTGATTTTGACCATAATGAAAAGGCTATGAAAATCGGAATGGAAAAAATACATTGTAAATGATTAATTTGGAATATATTGAAATGAGTGCTGTCAAAAATTCCACTGTGTTTTTTTAATGTTTTCAGAAGCTGCCACAATGGAAGATTTACAGATTCGACCTCACTTGATGTATGTACATTCTTATAAATCACCTCATTTTTGTGATTTCTGTGGAGAACTTTTATTTGGTCTGGTCAAGCAGGGTTTAAAATGTGAAGGTGAGCTGGACGATTTTACAAATTGACATTTTGAAATAAAACCTGGTTCAAATGAACCCAAAACAAAACATGGAATATTGCTCAAGTTAGGCCATACAAAAACAGTTAGTTGGGTTCTTCGATTCTCCCAGTAGCTTAAAAAGGACTGTGTAATATTGCTCAAGTTAGGCCATACAAAAACAATTATTTTGGTTCTCCGATTCTCCCAGGTCGCTTAAAAAAGAATGTGTGACTTGGGTTTATAATCTCATTAATTACCTTGTGTAAATATTTTCCGTTAGTTACAGAAAGCAAAAATTTGAAGTGTACCCAACCCTGATAAATATTACTAACAATCATGAATGACACTATTAGATAATCATCTATCGGTAAAACGACATGCTGAGAAAAAATGTAGTGTGTTGAAATGTGATGTGAGAATCCACTTAGCTCCGTAGTGAGTTGATCTTTTAACAAAATAAAAACACAAAGATAAAAACCTTTAGCCTAGAGAACCAGAATATTATTTTTTGTATTTCCTTACTCCTACATTTAGCAACTAATTATTTTATATGGACACAGTAATAGACTGCTGAAATAACACTAGTCCCTCAATGCAAGTTTTCTATGAGTTGAAAGCCATTTGTCACACACATAGTCTGATTAAAATACAGATCTATATTTCGTTTCTTTTTTTTATACTTTCAATGGCCTCTACTACATGATGTTTCTAGTGGGATACCCACAGTTCCATGCACTGCATGCCAAGAACTCGCCGCAACAGACGGCTTCATTGGATAATCCCTGACATCAACCAGAATGTGGGTTATATAACAATTCTTCCAGATCCTAGTGTAATAAAGACAAGTAAAACAAAATTTTGAACTATAAAAAATGAAACGAAATAGGATCTGTGTTTAAATCAGATTGTCTTGCACACCAATTTGACTACTCTATGGGTGATGTCAAATTGTCAAATACTATGAATCGACATACCCGACATTGATTTATGCCGTATAAAATATGTTTGTTATCCAATGTTTTTAAAATCTAGGAGATGCATTGGACCAGTAAGTAAGACGTTGACCCACTAACGTTGGCTCATTAGCTCAGTTCAACAATGAAGCCTATGATTACTTTGAGTCTTGTATACATTGATCAGACAGAAACCTATCAAATTTCTTGTGAATTCCTGTTTAGAAATTTGTAAGCAATGTGCATAAAGTGAAATGAATAAGCCTATCGAATTTCAACAAATTACATTAATTATTTCTAGTGTTATATCTCCTGTTAACTGTATGTTGAATATTGTGACAGTTTATCATCAAACTATTTGATATATATATAATAATTTCTGTTACCGGTAATTACTTTTAGAGTTATGGCTCTTGTTCACTTTGTAAAACCTTGTGATCTCTCTTTACGACAGACTGCTTGAAACATAAGCCCCAACATTCAAGACTGAAAGGAAAATATAGACTTTAGAGCATTTTAAAATCATTCCTATGGACAAGTTGATTACTAAGTTACTATCCATTCTATAGATTGCTGTTTGGATGGTTGACTTTATCTGTGTTATGCACAATATTTTAGTGAATTTGTATAGTTGAAAGAACTGCATTTTCAATGACTGTTTAGTGTACAGTTCACAAATGAGAAAATGACACAGTTAAATAATAGCAATACGAAACAAAAGAAAATTGAAAGACATATTGAAAAACATCTGATTTAAATCATGATTGTATTGTAATGGTGTCCTAGTGACACTATATAGATCAACTAAAGGTGAATTTTGTAAGGGGTTGACGGGGGTAAAACCATTTGGGCTGCTTTGTTCATATACTGGTAATAAAAATCCACACTTTCCTATTCATTGCTAATTTGAAAAAATAATTTTTATTATTGGCAGGATGTGGCTTAAATTTCCATAAACGATGTGCTTATAAAATCCCTAATAATTGTACCAACAACAGATATAGACGTCAATCTTCAGGTAGCGTGTCATCGTTACCATTTACACTTCCTCGTCAAATACAACCAGTTTATGACAATCAGGTGAGTGCCAATCAACAAATTGCTATATTTAGGACACTACTAAAAAATATATATATATTCAGCACAATTGGGCATTTTGTGGCCTGAAATTTCTGAATTTAACATTTTTATATGGACCATCCAAAACCATTTGTTGACTTGATGACTTTGGATTTGTTGATTTGCAAAATTAATTAGGTACCGGTATGTTCACAAAACCTTCAAAACCGGTCAATCAAAAAATATCAGTTTATTCCATGATTAATGAATAACAATAGACACTTCAAAAATTTCAGACCTCAGGCCACACCAATTTGATTATTTGTTCTTCGGAAAAGCCTATTCAAGTTTTGATCCTATTTTTTGGGAAACAAGTAATTTAAAAACCAAAAAATACTTGATTACACTTCTCAAAAACATGTGAGACTAGATCGGCTATTTATTGATAAAGACCTGAAAGAGCTAAAAATAAAATTGCTGTGGCCTAACTACATGTAGCTATGCATTCTGTAGATGACAGTACTATTTAGATAGATATTGGATGTGTGTTTATTTAAAACTCAAAATGTACTTTAAATAAATAAATAAAAAGAGTAGTCTATTTACTCTTTTATTCCTAGTTCATACATGTACAACTCATTTTTGAGTATTTTTCAAACATTTACCAGATAATTAGAAATATTTGTTGCAGCTTCTACTTTCATTTATAATTCTAGATTATCTAGTTAATTTTAACACTGAATATTGTTTATAACATAATATAGAGAAGTGTTGTTTATAACATAATATAGAGAAGTGTTGTTTATAACATAATATAGAGAAGTGTTGTTTATAACATAATATAGAGAAATATAGTTTATAACATAATATAGAGAAAAAATTTAATGCAAAAATACAAATTGAACGCTGAATCCAAATAAATTCATTCAAATTTTACAAAAATATAGCTTTTGTTTATATAAAAAGTAAAACTTAGGTTAAAATAAAATACCAAACCTAGTTTCACTCTGATTAGAATTAGATTTTCACAATAACTCATACTACGGTTGGCCTATAAAATTGTGTATTATTATTATTATTCTACAAATCTTAACATGTGAATATGATAAACTAATTTAGAAAAATAAATAGTAAACCCAGAACAAAAAAACAAGAATTGCATGTATCTTGAACATGTGTATTATCAAATTATTTGAATATATGATATGATAAATAAACTAATATTTAGAAAAATGAATAGTAAACCCAGAACAAAAGAAACAAGAATTGCATGTATCTTGAACATTTACATTATCAAATTATTTGAATATATGATATGATAAATAAACTAATATTTAGAAAAATAAATAGTAAACCCAGAACAAAAGAAACAAGAATTGCATGTATCTTGAACATTTGCATTATCAAATTATTTGTAGGTTAGAGATAGTAGACACTAGGTTGCCTGGCAACCCTTGGCAATTTCTTGTGATAAAATAGGTATCATTGAAAAAAGTAGTTTTTTAAATATTTATTAAACCCAGTATGAAAAAAAGAATTGGATGAATGGATCTTTGAACATTTTTATTATCAAATTATTTGAAGGTGACGAGTTGACACAACACACTCAATTGCTTGGCAACCTTTTGCAAGTTTTTGTGATAAATAATGTATCATTGCAAAAAGTATTTCATATTAAAAATAACTGGAAATGATATTATGTACATTTATGATATTATATAATTATAATTAATACGGTGCGTTGGATGGCCGAATGGTTAGCACATGTGCGCTGTATCATAAGGTGTGTTATTTAGTCAACTGGGGTGGTTTTGATTCCCCAGTTGTACGTGACAAGGAGTAGGGTCGCCTGTCCAACCTCATGGGTTTTCTCCAGGTCCTCCGGTTTCCTCCCACTGCTAAAGACCCCTACGCACAAGCGAATTATTAAAATAAAATTGAACCCATGTGTTAGTCCCGAAATGACCTAGGATGTTAACCCACCCCTCTCTCTCTCTCTCTCTCTCTTTTTTTATCCTTTTGCACCAAGTAGCATTCACACCTTTATAATTAGATTCAGTATTTATCAACCATTTATTAAAGCGGGAAAAAATCAGCCGTTTAAAAAAAGGACTTCCAATTCTGTTTTCAATCATGTCACTCGAGAAATAGGGATAATTATTTGTTTTATCTGAGATCTGAAGTTATTAACGTAAATTGAAATTTGCAGTGTGATTTTAAGGGTACGTGGTACAACTGTAGACAATGTCAAAATAGGATCAAAGAGTTCTTTGTAGAGTTAAAATGAATAGTTTATTAATAGCTATTTATTGTTCAATTATTTTATTTCGTGAATTAATGTAGATACTGTCCCATAAATAAAACACAAATTAAATATGCAAAAGATTGCAAAGCGTTACCAAAATTGACCAAAAGCACACATTTTTATATGCCAACCGTAGATTTAACAAAGATATTTTTAAAACTCTAATGTTTTGTGTAAAGTACGGTGGAAATAAGCGGTTTCCGGTGATGGCGCTTTTGCCTAGGATGAAGCCAGATGATCATAGGTCTTTTATCTTGCATTACCATGTGTTCAGTTACACTCATTACTAAACCAGCAGTTAAATTTTCCTTGTTGTTAGTCGCTAAAAAGCGTTTTTTGTGGGTGTACCCAGTATTTGAATGATGTATATTATTTAGGTAATTCTGAAATTTTTTTGAATAAGTGACGTCTTTACTTACGACAGACTAGATGATCTATTGGTTTTTTTTTTTACTATGAGAATAATTAATAATGTCATGCTAGTCACGATAATTCCCAAAATGTTAAATATGTATATGTAGGGTATTAAATAAAATTTATATGATCTTGTTTATTGTGGAATATATATATAGTGATTTCGATTTAATACAAAAGTAATATCACTGTAGATTATAGTAGACTGCTACTGCCTTTATTCAGTACTAATTAAAACTAAAATGTGATGATCTTTTTGTTCCGTTTAAACGAGTTGTCACTCCTTGAAATTTTAAGACATTTTGTGAGAAAAACATGTTCTAAGCTTCTGAAGTAGGCATAATGATATCCCTGACCTGAATTAAACAGTCAATCAAATGTCTCAACAATCAATTAACGATTTTTCAGAATTTTCGGTATCACAGCTTTTTAATTGGCACCCTACAAAGAAATGTCTGTGGACCTAGATAAAGTGGGGTAAACAACCGGAAAATAAAACGGAATGCATTGTTGGCATAATTTTAATTAGACTGCCCTTAGCCATGATGTTTTTGAAAGTTTGAGGTGTTGTTTTCTTCCAACTACATTATTAAGCCTAACAATGTTAATGACTATATTTATGTGAAAAATAATATTAATAAAAATTAGAATCTGATCTGCTGTTAATTAATTAGCTGAGATTTTGTGATACAATTACAAAATACATGCGAGATTGATTAGTAGTAGTAATGATAAGATGTTATACCATACATAACTTGCTAATTAATTAGTAATTAATTGAAATATAGTACATTTGCACCCTTCTATTCTATGTTTATTTTCATTACAAGATATACTGGTATATCTATTTCTTTTATAAAATTTATTACTGATTCCAGATATTGTGATTTAATGGCATGTCACATTTCATTATCCCATATACCTATAAAGACTCAATAAAGTATATATATTTGTCCTTGATTGTAAATGAATATTAGATTTTTTTGTAATAATGTTCTAGATATTAAATAGTTTCTAAATTGGCAACCTTTGTTAAAAGTAATAAAATAAGACCAGTCGATATAATACACATCCATATTAAACAGACATACCTTTATTATTGACATTGTCATTGAACTTCCAATTAGCTTCCATGTACCATAGATACTGCATGTTAGCTTTATAGGGGCTTACAAAACTTACATACAGTAAGCTTATGCATTCAGTGGGATCAACATTTTTGTTTTAACAATTGACTAGAACATTGCACAGTAAAATGCATTGCACAGTAAAATGTATTAAAAAACTATATTTAATAAACAGGCTGTTTCATTGAATAGTCTAAAGATGGCTGTTTGATTAAATAGTCTAACAATGGCTGTTTAATTAAATAGTCTAACAAAGGCTGTTTAGTTAAATAACCTTAGAACTGGTTATTCATTAAAAGACAAATCTAAGAACCAATTCGTTAATTAAATGACCCTAGAACATGTACAATAAAATTAACCTTAGAATTGGTAGGTTGATTAGATAATCCTAGAACGTATTGCCCAGTTCTTCTGATGAATATTTAATTGCAGTTTAATTGATCAATCTGATTAAAATACAGATCTATATTTCGTTTCGTTTTTTTATACTTTCGATGGCCTAGATCTGACAAGTTGTACTGGAAGGTTGTGTCAGGGGTTGTACAAGCGGCTTTTGACCCTATGATGTTAGACATTGATTAATCAATCAGCGTTGACATTTCTAGGGGTTTACCCACATATCCGTGCATGGTACACCAAGAAGTCGCTGTGCTAATCCCTCACTTCAACCAAAACTCTGTTAATATATCGACTCTTCCAGATCATAGTATAGTAAAGACAAGTAAAACGAAATTTTGAACTATAAAAAACGAAATGAAATAGGATCTGTGTTTTAATCAGATTGTTTAATTGATGCAACAAATTGGAATGGAATTTATTTTTCATTCATTTATAACATTTGATGTGAAATTAATCAGTATGAATGATCATTAAATAACCTTAAAACTTTTTGCTTAATAATTAAATAACCAATTACTATTATGATGTATGTATATTATTCTTGGTATTTATGTTTATTAATTATATTTAATCAATTAGTCTTTGCCGTCACCAACTTTAACGAGTGCATCTTTTTCGTTACCGCGGCAATATCAGCCCCCGGATGCGCAGGTAGGATCAGTGTTAAACTTTTGGTGACTGTATAATTCTTGCATGTGCATGCATGCTAATTGCTTTTTTTTATTATTATTTTGGTGTTTTGTTTAGATATTTTGTTATTCTTCTGTATTGTTTAGGTTTTTTGTTTTTCTCCCCGCTAATGGATATGTTATCAAATTTATGTATTTCTATTGTGTTTTACTTGTTAAACTTTTACTTTTTGAAAAATTATTTCTTTTCTTTTCTTAGTTTTTCAATTATTTTTTTTATGATTTTTTTAGTACAGAGTCTGTGGCCGGAAAAATCCTGAGTCTCTACTATCAGAGAGTTAGTCGTAATTATAATTTTTGTGATATCGAAACGCTGGATTTTCCTGGCAACAGACCTTAGATTAATAGAAACTGCACAAATTCAATTTTCAAGAAGGCGGTGAAGGTGACCCAATTATCAATGCCATTTTTTTTTTTTTTTACCTCGCCTCCATCCATCCCTTTTCTTGGTGTTGGATTGTTAAAAATTGTTTAATTCGTGTTTTGTAGTGTAGACAATGTTCATTCATTATTGGGGGTTTGGGTACTTTAGCCGAATGGTTCAACGTGTGCATCTTAGATCATAGAGTCTATCATTGAGTTGAGTGGCATCTTAGTCCCATAAATATCTAGTTGGGTCAATCCTGCATTTCATCTGTGAATATATTGTCATTGTTTGTACCTCTGTCCATAATACTTCTAAGAACTTAGTCTATCTTTTATTGTTAGTATTGTTACTATTAGGAATAGGATCTCCAGTAATTGTTTTCTTCCATTAGCAGGATGGAGGGCCTGACAAGGACAGCTGTCTAGTCATTCGGATGGAACAAAAAACAGGTCCCGTGTACACATTGGTGTGCATGTAAAAGTTCCCTAACAGTTGGAATTGGATATAAGAGTGGGCTGTAGCACACTGTATGGCATATGCCTGTTTTCATTAGCCCAGTTGGAGCAGAACAGTAGGACGATGAACCCCATTTCATTTCATCTATTAGATTTATAGATTCTGTCCCTGTCTTCAATAAACCTAGTTAGAGCAGAAAAGCAGAATGTTAAACCCCATTTCAGTTCATTTTATACATTCTGTCTCTGCCAGAGCTAAATTTTAACATTACAACAAATATTGTACCGGTAAGAGAAGTAAACTTATGAAACAAATTGTTTTTAGAACATGTATCAGGTTTGAGTTGGACAAATCTATCATGTGACATGCAAACCAAATCACTTGCTCTCGCTATGAAATTGATATATCGGGACAATATATCATAGGTTTCGAAAATTTCTGGAAATAAATGGATCAAATTGTCGTTTATTTATCAAGAAACATTTATGCAAAGACTTATAATATTATTTTGTGTACTGGTACATATATATAAAAGGTTTAAGGAATGACGAAGTTTATGACATTCTGAATTAAAGAACTCGAATAATACGGATTTACTGTTATGTTTTATACCCGTCTTCATTAGCCCAGTCGGTGCAGAAAAGTAGGATGTTAAAACCCATTTCATTTAATTTCTGTTATATATGAGGTTCAAGATGAAAAGAAATTATTGGATGGTATATCAATATGCACTTTGTTTACCTTTATTATCCTAGGTAACAATTGCATCTAGTGATTGATAAGCATACCTGTCACTAACTTGTCATGTACCTATCAATCATAGCATTTCTTACCACAACCAATCAAAATGCACCGTATATAGACCTACATAGTGCAAGTTAATATTTATACCATACTTGATTACTTAGTGTCAGTGTTACCCTTAAGCAATTATAATAAATAAAAATTACTATAATTTAGGTCAAACACTTGGACCGACTGAGCAGCCATTTGGTTAGAATTCCAAAGCTATCAGATGATTATTGGTATTAGTAGTATTATTTGTTCATAAGGAAGAATCCTTTTGAGATTCAATTTTTCCAATTACAAATTTCAAAGTTATCTCCCCATTTACGTTTCTACATCAACATAATACAGGACAAAGAATTTAATAGAATTGTTCATTATGGTGTCCTAAGAAGCAATTCTATCAAATTTCTAAATTTTCAAATCATGTTCTGCCGATTTATCTTACTTGTCATACAGGACAAAGTTTTCAATGGAATTTTACAAATGTATGAAAGCTTGTGAACACGATATGGAATTTATACAAACTTGGTGCAACTGTTCATAGGGGCCTAAGTTTACTGTAAAATTCACAAAAAATTTTGAATGCATTGAAAGGCAGAGTTTTCAAAATAACTTTGTCAAACTCAGTAAATATGCTGCTGGTTGGCATATATTCATTGTCTGACAACCCTATATTATAACCGTATTACCGCTGGTATTTCAAATTAAAGATGTATTATGTAAGGTTCAGCTATAGAACTGGTCATTCTTGCTATATATAATATACTATTCAAAAAAAGTAGGGGATATTTGATTTTTAAGTGTTATTAAAGTCACCTAATGAAACTGACGAAGAAACAAATGACAAAATGAAATGAAGTTCACATTCATCGATTTATTCCAAATGATCGTTAGACTAAGTAAGGCACAGACTGACCATTATAAGGGTAAAATGATACCCGGGGTCAAACAGCAAAGTTACCACAGCATCACAACCAAGTCAGTAACGGGTAAATCCTCCTCTGTTTGCCAAACAAGCATTGATCCGACGTGGCATACTCCTAATGAGACGTCTAAGGTCATTTTGGTCCAGATTGTCCCATTCCTGTTGCAACGCAGCAGCAAGTTCTTGGACATTGGCAGGACGTTGTTGACGTTGACGTAACCTCTGTCCAAGCATGTCCCAGACATGCTCGATGGGGGAGAGGTCGGGACTCAGTGCTGGCCAAGGTAATGTGGTGATGTTCTGTTGTTGGAGGTAACCTGTAACAATCCTGGCCCTGTGACATCTTGCGTTGTCATCCTGGAAGATGAAACGGCGGCCATGACGTCGTGCGAACGGCACAACATGGACTGCCAAGATGTTGTCCCGGTAGTACTGGCCTGTAACACGCCCTGCAACAACATGTAAAGCCGTTCTTCCAGCAACAGTGATGCCTCCCCACACCATAACAGAACCACCCCCAAATCGATCATGTCTGATGACGTTAACGTCTTGGAAGCGCTCGTTTCGACGACGCCACACCCTCCTACGTCTGTCCAAAAAATCAACAGTGAACCTTGACTCATCTGAAAACATCACATTGCTCCAGCGTCGATTATCCCAGTGTTGACGATCCCTACACCAACGACGTCTTGCCTGAATGTGATGATCTGTCAAACAAGGGATCACGCGAGGACGTCGGGCGCGAAGGTGACCCCTATGCAGTCGATTCCGAATCGTCTGGCCACACACTCTCACACCAGTGTCTGTTTGAAGACGAGCGCTGATCTGATTTGCTGTGATGACACGATTTCTCAAGGCCAAGGTACGGATAAATCGATCCTGGGCTTGAGTTGTCGCCCTTGGTCGACCTGAGCGTGGTCTGCCCTGTACAGATTGTGTATCACGGTATCTGGACCATAGCCTGCTTATGACAGACTGAGAAACATTCATCGTCTGCGCCACAACCGCCTGTGTTGTGCCGATCTGTAGCATGCCAAGGGCACGTAACCTTTCATTTTGGGTAAGCCGACGCATATCAAAATTTGTTTTCTGGTCACTAAAACAATTAAACTGATGTTTCCACCCTGGAATTCAATGCCACAATGACTGTAACATTCAAAGTCAGAGTCGTGCAAATCTTGGGTTGGACCCCCATGATGATCCCAAGCATCACCTGCATTCCATGCGGTAGCTATTGGTGCGTTTGGGCGTCACATGTAACTGGAAATGTTTTTTCTGTTAGGTTCTATAGTGACTTTTTTCGTAGTCATTTGCATATTTTAGTATTATGCCCCCAAAATCAAATATCCCCTACTTTTTTTGAATAGTATAGTTTTAAATATAGATAATGAAAAATGAATATATTGAAAATTTCATTCAAATTACTTTATTCTGAGTGAAGTTATGAGTGTTAAAAGGTTTGACAGGATGTGTAGATTGTTCACTATCATAGCAATGGCACTTGAAAATCAAGTCTAAGTCTTGATTATCCATGTTATTGTTAAATTTTTAAATGTTTCAGGTGTAATGCATTTGAATCTCAGCCATCTGATGGTCTAAAGAGTTGACTAAGAGCTTGTCATGAGATTAAATGACTAACTAATAATTCATATAGTAGAATCTGTATTAAGCAGCCACTCAAGGGAATTTTCATGACTGACCGCTTATCGGGAGTGACTTCTTAATAAAATCTCAGGGTTTGTTAGTGCTGACATCAAGTAAATTTTACACTTAGAAGGATTGGGAGCAAACATCAATACTTGCATCGGAAAATTTGGCCATCGCTGAAACTTGCTTAGAACGAAATTTTTTTGACTCAAATCTCTGATATAACTTCTGTAAATGTGTCATTTTGTACCAATATTGAAACTACTGTCTGTACCAACATTAATACTACTGTTTACCAGTGATGTGTTTGATAATATTTATCTATTTTGTGAAGAAACCATGAATTAATTTTATTTGATCAAAAAAGCTCATATCCAAAAAACCATTCTGAATTTGTCACCGATTTTCAAGGGGTGTAACTCTGTATGTAATATAGGAGGCGTTAAAACTTCTGTTTAGTAACAACGTGGCAATTGAAAAAAGATACTTGATGATCGTGACAAAACTCGACTTTGACGGTACTTTTCACTGACGTTATATACTTCAATGGTACTTTTAGTTTATTAACAGTAGCAAATAATGTTTTGTTACGTGTGAAAACAATGAATAGAGTTTGTCATTTAATAATGCAAAAGATTGATTAACAGATAATCCCGGGTTTATTGTCATTTTCACAGTTCTTTTTAGCTGATCAGTGGGTGGCCAGATAATTAACTATTAATCACGGGATTAGTGGACGTGCTACGAAGTACATGTATGACAAGATGGTATCATTCAA